AGTGAGATGGCACTGACCAGTGGGATCCACCCCCCTGTGGCACAGCAGCATCTCCACTGGAGCAGCCACAGTGCCTCGGAAGAGAAGGATGCAGCAGGGACCTCCACACCTCTCTGCATCTCATCAAGCACTGCAGCAATATACCCAATCCCAAATCTTTTGGATTGTCATTTTGTCCTGATCAGTCACAGAATGCTGACAGGGACACATCCCAACGTTTGGCTGCTGAGGTGGCCAGATGTCGGTTATAAGACAACACTTTCTATTGTTATTTTCACTATTTAAGAACAGTAATTCTAGCTGAGGAGTTCTGGCTTGTGGAAGACCTTATCTTCATGTTATTCCCATGGGGTATGTGCTCTACCAGCAGATGAGTAAAAGGGAGCAGATAAATGCCTTACCTGAAGATCCTGCCCCCTGTTACAGGTGAACCTCAGTCCCACAGCTGCTCAGCTGAGGAGCTCCAGCACAGCAGGCTTGGGAGATGCTCTTTGGAGAAAGGTACAGGTACAGGCTTGTCAGCTGCATCGAGCCCAGGTGTGTGTGTGAGAGCTCCACTGGAAAGGACCTTTCTGAAAAGCTTACTTACAGAGCACTTCAGGAATTTCCAACATTAATGTCTAAGGACTAAGCATTTCCTGCTTTGGGGTGAAACAAAAGCAGGTGGAAAACTCACCCTGAGGTTTCCATGGGCTTAGCTTTCTATGTAACTTATAAAACAGTGGTAGTAGGTTTGCCGGCTCTTGTTACCTAGCATGGGTTAAGGCTTAGTAGCCTTAAAAATGCCTCAGCAATAGGCAATGCAGTAAAGAAACATATTTTGTGTTTAAAAATAGTCTCGACTGTTGTTAAAAGGCATTAAGCAATGGGTTTTTTTCCTGTATCAGCACAACAGAGCAGTGCAGACAAAGGAAAAGGGTAACTGCTGCTACTCTGGGAATGAGGAAATACTGTTTTATCTAATTTACTGCGGTCTAAGGTGAAACATTAACTCAGCTGTGAGCTCTGATGGGATGTAAATAACCTGAACAAAAACAGTGCTGGTCTTTGTCGCGGTCCGAATGGGGGAGGGGAATGGGGCCGCGACACGGCACGGATCCCAGACACAAAGGTGGGGTGCAGGTAGAATGTTTAATCCAGCGCACACGCGGGGTTTTTATCCGGAGGGAAAGGGCCAGAACATAGGGCGGAGCAGGAGACAGACAGGCGGGGGGACAAACCAGGATTGGGCCGTGGACAAAAAAGGTGGTGGGGGGGTGGGGGGTGGAGCGCAGGAGGGACCAGGGGAGGAAAGGGCGAGTGAGGGCTGTCTCCTGCCGCAGCTTCTCCAGCCCATCGGCAGAGAAACAGAGGAGCGGGCAGGTGAGCAGGCCCGGACATGCCCGGGGGATACAAATTCGGGGGAAACACACAATGTGTAAAGTCCATTCAATCGCTGTACATATTTTTCCATTTCCGGAATTGTTCCCATTCCGATTCCTGGTCCTCGACATCTCGCCCTCTGTTGTTTAAATCAGGCACGGCTAAAAAGATATTTTTTGTGATGGTCTTCTTGCAGTGCTTTCTTTTGAGGGCATTAACAGAGAAGTCTTCAAAAATAAGTTTGAATGGTATCGCAACACACACCTTTCATTTTACTGAAGCATTCACTGAAATGTTTCCCTTTGGAGTAGATTGTTTTGAGCACTGTGGAAATAAGGAGAAGGAAAGACATTTTATATGACTGAGGTTTCCCAAAAGACTGTGAAAATACTTTAAAGGGATATAAAGAAATTGCAGACTTACCCTCAGTTTTGCATTTCAGAGGATAGAAAAGGTCTTAGCATATCCACAGTTCAGTAGGTGCTTCCTGCACAGATCCCTGCCCTCTGCGTGTGGGAGAGCTGGCATCGGCCTCCCAGAGGCTCTGGGCTGGGCCCAAATTGATGCCAGAGTGGACATCTGGGATAGAGCAGGTTTCAAACCACTCCTCCTCAGGGTCATCCTTCATCTTGATCTTGATCTGTGTCAGGGTCATAAACCTGTCTGCCAGGAAAGGTACACATGAAAATAAGAGGGAATTCATAAAAAAGGAGGAAGAAATCTGACATTTTCACTCATGATTTAGTTTATGTTTGTTACAGTATAAAGCACCTTCAACACTGGCACAAGTAAAATAACCAAAAGTCATTTAAATACTTGTGAGCTGACGGAGAACATGCCCTTGGGTACAAGACTGATAACTATCTGACAGAGACAAAACATTTGGTGTCCTTAAAGGCCCTATAGCCTATTTATTGCTACATCTACGGTCACATCAGATCATCACACACCTCTGAAGAAGTTATATGGTGTCTGGAAAAGTACTGACTAGTAAGTCCCCATGGTACCCAGATGCCCTGGCAGAACCCCAATGAAATTATCACAGGGAATTTGCACGTGTCACGGCCATATCTCTGCCTGCCAATGAACGTGAGCACTGTACCAGGAGGGAGATCCCCAAGAGAAGGAATAAAACTGATGTGCCATTTTTGCCTTGTTCTTGGAGAGAAGGAATAGCTCATGCACTTATTTACAGTTTGCTTCTGTGCTACATCCAAGTAGTCACCATTCACATAACAATAGCTAATGGCAGAAGTTCAACACCACCCCCCCCCCCCCCCCCAACATGCTCTGCAGGTTTGGTTTCAGGCTGGCAACCCTGGTGAACTGTACTCACCATTCAGAGCTGCTGGGTGGCATCACGTGGTGAGAATGACAAGTGCCAGCAGCATCCCCAGCAGCATCCCCAGGCACTCCCAGGGGTGGCTCAGGTGTCACCTTGGCTGGGGCCAACTGGATCTCTGCAGGGTGTGTGCTAAACATGCTTTGGGGAAACTGATGGCTCCCTTGGGAACACTGTGCACTCTTCCCCGTGATGTCCCACAAAACATACTCTAGAGACAGAAACCTGGTGCCATGTCACATTTGCAATGGAAAATGTAAGTCTAATAAAGATGGATACATGGGGACTTACCACCACATTTTTTCTAGTTGAATTTCATTAACATTTTGAGCAGTGCTGAGCAAACCCCATGGTTTTTTGTTTTCTATTTGCCAGGCAGGGACTGTACAGGCACAGCCAGCCTCTGCTCTACAACAGCAAACCACTTTCACTGGAGACTCCTTTCCTAGTACTCCAGACTCTTTGATCTCCAAATGTCCTGTAGCAGCCTGTATAGCTTGTGACTACAGAATTTGTTACATCATCCTTATGTTCCTTACATCCATATACTTCAGTACGTTAGACACATAATGACAATACTGGCTATTTTTCCCAGCTCCATGCAGGAAGTGAGGAGCACTTGGAAGTGTCTGGAGCCATGGGACAGGTACAGCCTATTCACCATGGAAGTCTCAGACCCTTTGCTTCTTCCTGTGCCAGTACCCCAAAATCTGAATGGCAGTTTTCTCTGGGTTAACTCACAACTCTGCACGTGCAGTGGGTGGAAGCTGAGGGTTTGAGAGCTGCAGTGCTGCCTCTCCTTGAGAACATCGAAGAAACCTTCACAGCCAGGGACCAGGTGCCCACAGAGCAGGATGCTAAAAATACAAGAGTGCAACCATAGACCAGCCAAACACCGCTATCACCCCCTCTTTGTCAAGTGCTAAAAAACCCCAAAAATGCCAGCACAGGGGACAGGTTTGACCAGCTTTCTCACATTTTTGTGTTTTCTCTGCTCTCTAACAACAGACCCAGGCAGGGTTTTGTCTGTCCTTTCCAGACTGTGTCAGTGCCATGAGGCACCTCTAGCTCTTTCCCCAGGTGAGCTCTAGCACACTGTTGTTAACTTTCTCCAAACCCCCACAACAGGGCATCTTCTTACTGCAGGGACTTGCCCTTGTAGGAGAGGAATAGCTGATGCACAGGGACTCATCTAGTATGTGAAAGACTATCTTAGTTACCAGCTCTGTCAAAATTCCCTCCACAGTCATATGGCTCTACTCAGCTCTGCCAGGAAGGTGGGCATGAGGCAGCTCCTCCAGGCCTCGCTGGGGGCTCTGGAGTCACACACAGGAGCAGACCAGGTGCTCACATAGTGTCAGCATAGAGTTCCCACTGGAACAGTAAATCTGTACCAAACCCAGAATGGAGCAGCAGTAAAGGAACAGTACCTCTTTGAGCATGACTTTTACTGTATCTAAAATTACCTGCAGGTCTCTGCAATGTCACATCCATTTCTGTACTGATCTCTTTGGGCCCTGCTGAGTGGGGCTGCTTGAGCCCTGGAATATCCTCTTCACAAGCTGGAATGAGATTTCTGTTCCAAATGGGGATTGAAAGTGCTCTCAGAAAAGGGAATTTTCAAGTTCTGAAATTCTGCTTTTGGACTTTGAAGCTGCCAAAATCTACACCATATATTCCCATTTTTTATTTATGACATACACTAAATATTCACTGCTAGATATAAATTAAAAGCTTAAATATTCAGTTAATTTTATTTTATTGGTGAAATCACTACAAGGTATTGCTGAGATAGAAATCTCTTACCCTCCTTGCATTTCAAAGCATCTCTTGTTTGCTTGTGCCCTGCTCCCTCATTTGATTACCAAAAGACCTGAAAGGAGTTCAAAAACTTGTTTGTAGCAGATGTCCTTAAAGATTTAGCATTAAGATATCACAGCTTAGTGCAAAATAAAACAAATATCAGGCAAATAACATGAGATAAATTTTAAAAAGTCTGAAACAAAAATTAAGACAAACTAAGAAGTATTTTTGCAACTCAGTTTGTCATACACACACAGGGGCTTTTCCAGAGAGTTTTACATATTATCAGTTACAGCACAGACAGGTCTTGCCTCCACCAGTGCAATGTTCACCCACTATAATGAGTATATTTTTTCTTACAGCTGTTGGTAACATATGTTTTTCCATAACAGCTCATGCTGTGAGAAGGAAACATAAGGCTCTGGTACTTCTTCATATTCTGAGTTCTCTAAAATTTAGAATATCTGTTCAGACAGAAAACATTTTGCAGACATTTATCTTCTTGTATATTTACACTGTTGTATATTTTCAATTTATATTGATTTATAAGTAATAAGATAATTAGAACACAAAGGTTGGATAAGTTTCAGTGAAGATGTCAACAAAGTCAATTTAACCCTGTGATTCCAAAATCAATCTTTGATTTTTTTTTAAATCAACACTTTCCAATAACTTTCCCTTTAGAAAGTTCTGGATCAGCACTAGCTTTCCACAGACATTTTAACAAAGGATATGAGTGTACATTACTAGCAGTGGTCCTTTCACCTCCATCCTTCCCAACATCAGTGTATGTGCTCCTTGGCTCTCTCTGCAAATATAAAGAGCAAATGCAGACTCTAAAACACTGGGGCAGTGGCAATGGGGCTTTATCACTTGTGTGCCCCTTCAGTCACAGGCAGAGGGGTCTGAGCTGGGGCCTGGGTTTGGAGACAGTGGGAACACAGTCCTGAGAAAACCTGTGGTGCCTGGAAGGAAGGTCAAAGGGTCTGTGAGTGCTCAAGCTCATTCTCACATCTGGGTGAGGGCAGTAACCATCCAGGCCTATCTTCTGCAGCCAGACTTGAGCCCAGAGCTGATTCCTGCGAGTGAAACATGGCAGTGTTCCTGTTCCTGCAGCCCTGTTTCTGTTCTCCATTTCATGGCCACTGGATGTGGGTGCAAATCCCAACAAGTAAGTTTTGAAGTGTCCCAGGTTTCTAAAGGAAACATCCCCATTTCCCCACTGGGCTCTGCTCACCTCTTGCAGAAGCCCCTGTCCTGAAGGAGGAGTGCAGATCACCCTGGTACCCCCTTGGCCCTGGCTGCTGTGTGCTGGCCAGATGCAGCCCCAGGGACAGGACAGCAGGTGAATCCCCAGGGGAATGTCACAGTCAATATGACAACTGCCCTTGTGCTGCCAGGAGGCACCTTCCTGCCATGTGGGCTTCCAGCCAGAGCCCCCCAGTGATTCCCAGTCCCTACAAGAAGAGATGGACAGAGTCATACTTCTCTTTTGCAAGGAAAGTTCAAAAAAACCAGGCTGGAAATAACCACATCCATTGAGGCTCTTGAGATCTTCAGTTCATTTCCCACCTTCTGGAGGGTGAGGGAGTCAGGTGTCCTGTTTGCAGAGAACCAGCCTCTCCTGACCAAGCAGCAGGGCGAGTCCATCGCCAGCTCTCCTTTCTCTGCTCTGCTCATGCAGCTCCCATTCCTGATCCCACACAGTGCAAACCTGATGTGATGAAAAGTCACAAAATTTTGCTTCAGTTCTCTGTCTGTGAATTAGAAATAATTGATTTTCTTTAGATTTTGTTCTTCGAAGTTCACCTTCTCTACTCTTAGATACATTTTTAGGCACATTTTTAATGACTATTTTTATAAAAGTATTACATGGACCTGATTTTTTCAACTAGTTCTCAAAGCCAACTGTAAAGGTGTTCAAGTGTGACAGTGGTTAAGGTAGTGCTGTGTGATACCTGGTATCTGCCCCACAGACAACAAAAAGTTACCAGGTTGGGATCTGTCTGCCCCATTGCCCAGTCCTGCTGTGCGAGGAGGGATCTTGTTGACATCCAGTGTTCTCCCCAAGCCCATCAAGCAGCACACACCTCTGTCCATACAACTCCCCCAGACCCTGTCTCCTGAAATCCAGACAGCTATTTATCAGCTGCCTAAACAAGTTAGTTAAACAGGTGCTGTAAGTTATGATGAGGATAATGGATTTTTCCAGAAACAAACCTGTTCTGTTCTCCTGGCTGAATGTCAGTGCATGAGCTAAGTGCCACTTACATGGCATGCAGTGTGTTCTGAGAGGAGTAAGAATCATTTCTGGGACAGCTCCTGTTAGTTAACCTGACACCAGAGTCTATGCTATGACAATATACAAGCAGTATTAAAAATTATTATGGCGATATTGAAAAAAAAAAATCAGTGTAATTTAGAGCAAACAAGAGGCTGCTCAGTTCTATTTGATTCTTCTTTTTTTTCCAAATCAGTGTAGTACACATATACACAGATATGATACACCCGGGTTTGTTAAAGGTGAATGCAGGTGAAGGATCCAGATCTTATGTAGAAACATATTTACCTTAACATTTTTTTTTAAATATTTGAGAGCCATCCCCCAGCTGATTTATTTCAGCAGCTGAAAACGTAGCTGACAATTTAGAGAGCAATTGTTGTATCAGAACAGGATAGTGCCACGGGGAGGTGACAGTGCCTGATCCTCTCCATCTAAATCACCCCAACTCTAACTCCTGACCTGCAAGATGCACATCTTTGGGACAGAATTCAAAGAGAGAAACTACCACTGGAAACCTGTATGTGTTTACCTGTGCTGGGCAGGCTGGGGTGACCATCACCTGAACACATAAGTCTGCATCACCTTAGCTGGAGACAAGCAAATACGAGGCTTCAGCTGACACCTGATTTCAGTGTGCTTCTCACCTGGGGAGCTTATAAAGGGATGTCTATCCTTGACTGGCTTGTTGAGGTTGACAAACTCACATGGCAGTTTGATTATTGAATTAGATAGAGAATTTAATATTGCTACTACAGATACCTTGTGCATTTGTTTTTACTTTAACTGCATTTTGATTATGCTTTCTTTAACCTTTGATTAGTGTCGCACAGGCAATTGGCAGTAGTGTCTTCAAATCTGTATCAACATTTCCATTTATTTTTCATAACAATTATATATGAAAACTGTCTTATGTATTCCTGTCATAGCTACAAGTCACCTCACACCATGGCCTCGTTCCTGACCTCTGTACTAGTCTGCTGCCACTCTATTGCCTGTCACCAGTTTGCTTTACAAAGACAAAGAAGTTTAAACAGCCCTGAGCACTGAATTGAGGGGCACGTGCTGTGGTTTCAGGTGGGCTGCAGCTGAGGGGGTAATGCAGGAGGGAAGAAAGTTAGCAAGCTGCCCTTCTCTCAGCAAGAATGATCAGCTCTTCTTGGGCTTGGACCTCTCAGAATTGACCCCAGATATTTGGCTTTAGAGATGATAACAATTCATCAAATTAAATCTAAGTTGCAGATCAGTAGTTATCCCCCAGTGCTTCCAGTCACATCCTACTCTATCAGGATACAAGCCTCACTTTCCCCAGCATGCTGCATGATTTCTCCATGTTTCTCCATCTCAGACACAAGTCTGGCCCCAAATGAAAGAGAACAGGGTAGTTGGTAACTTCTGCTTGAGCAGAGAAGTAGAACATCATGTTGACAGCATGTCTGGGCCTTCTCCCTTTCCAGCTTTGCTGGACCTGCATGGATAAGCAGCGGTTACAGAATTAATCTCTCAGTAAGAGAAAGCTAGTTTTGAATTCAAAAGTAACCTTTTTCATTTGCTGAGTTGTAGCTCATGCCTCAGTTTCCCCCTCTGCACTCTGGAGTCCCCCAGGGAGTGGGGGACAGCCCTCCTGGCCAGTGCAGACGTGCTCCCTCCCCACTGCCCTTCAGTCCATCAGGTTGCAATGACCTGGACCCCTGAAGCAGCAGGATGAGATGCTCAGTCTGCAATAGTGATGGACTCAGAAGAAAACCAGAGGTGTCCAGTATCTCACAGCAGTGACGAAGGCTTTGACAGCCACTTGAGCAAACCTGCAGCTGAGAAGTGAACCAAAAGCCTCTGCATGTGCTTTGAGTCTGACCCTGCTCTGCCTGGCAACAGCCGGGGGCACATCCCATGGAGAGAGGGGTGTTGAACAGACAGTGCCCGCACCTTCTCCTTGCAGGGACACTGAGAAGCTGGGGCTGGCATTCTGCAGGGGCCCTGCTGTCTCTTGGAGCAGGCGGTGCCTTGGTGGCAGTGGTGCCGTCCCTGGGTGCCTCCCAGGGCTCTGCGTGGCCAAGGGCTGGCTGGGCAATGCCCCTGTGCAGGCACTGCACTGAGACCAATACACGTTTCACAACAGACACCTTTATTTTCACATTTCTGCATGTATGTTCTTTTTCCTGGGATGTACTGGTAGACAGATTATACCCTGCAGAACGGAGTTTAGCAAACTTTATATGTATGTATGTACACACATATATATAGTCTCGCAAAATCACTCCTGCATTTGTCCACGTGTCAGAATGGATGTTTACAACAAACTAGAGCTAAAGGAACACTGCTAGGTTTTGGGTTATTTTTCTTATCTCTAACATAAAATAGTGTTTGCATTTTTTTTCAACTCAATTGCCTGTTTTCCTGCTTATACTTAAGCAAAACTGCTGAAGAGACATGCCTGTAAGCTTTCCATTTATACTACTCCAAAATACTATCAGTGATGCAGGTGGAAGAACATTTCTGAATTCTTATTTACACAAGGGTCAGTTCAGTGTGTGTTGCCATACCAAATGTAAGAGCACCCCTGAATCAATGATGCAGATAAATCATTGGCATGTAAGTGCTACACTCACAGCACAGTTCAGATTCACAGCCCCTATGCATATAGATATGTGTTTGAGTCCTACTTTTAAAAGTTTCTTTGCAAATTTTTAACCTGACAGTGTCCCTTTCAGAAAAATACATATTGGGCTTAAGAAAGGACACCCTCCTAGAGATATTTTCCTTTTATTATTAAAACCAACATTTTTTAAACCATTAAACAAAATTGAATACAAATTACCATCGGAGAATAGCATTTGTAAGAGTGAAGCTTTACATGGCTGCTCCATTAACATGGCTTTAGTTATCACAATTTACATTATTTGCACATTTCCTTAGGTCTTTCATGGCACTTCCATGAATAAGAAGAAAAGGTTGATACACTGCTGCTATCATCTCACCAGAGGTCACCAATGGACACGTGGGTGTTTGTTCTCAACACATGTTGCAGTCAGGCAATGCCAAAGTCCTGCCCATGGTGCCCTAACCTCAGGGTATCTGTGCCTCGGGCTTACAGCTTGGCTCATGGTTACTCACAATATTGCAATGCATTCAGAAGAACAGGAAAACAAACAGCCAAACAGCCACAGAACAGGCACGGTACATTTTTTTTTCTTTTTTTTTTTTCATTATCATTAATCACATTCCTATTTTTCAACATGTTGCAGAAAATGCATGTTAGAAAGGCTTTCTTTAAAAAAATGCTGGCATGAAGATGCAGACTAATGTTTGTAACTAATGACACAGTCAGAGTCCTGATTCAGACGTTATTTAAACATTCATCACTTGGAGGAAATGAGCACAGTTGATAGCACTGACATAGTCTGACTGTAGATGAGAAGCAGCACAGGAACTGCCTTCCATGTACTGGCAGGAGGATTGATGAGGGTAGGGATTGGAATAGCATATTGTGTTTTATTTAGAAAGCTGTAGTCGTATTTGTCGTAAATATTACAAGCCCCATTTCTGAGCAAGGGGAGGCTTGGCAAGTTTACAGAGTAACATTCATGAGAAAACATAAAAAAACAAACCCAAAGCCATTTCATGCAGAGCACGACTCTCTCACAGTCACTGGATCTCTGTCACCTGTTGGCTGGAGCACATCTGCACACTGGTGCATCCCAGCCTCTGGCTGTAGCAGTGGGATCAGGGACAAACATAGGGCAATAATTGGTTTTGCAGTGGCAAGAACTCTGCCACAGACAGAATCTGCAATCTGAGCTACAGGAAAATACAACTGTGGGTGCCACTTTGCAAATCCTCCTGTCTCAGCTACCATAGGGCTTCAGGTGGAACACAGAGCTCAACTCAGGGCTGAACATCCCAGGGGTGCCTGGGAGGTGTCTGACTCCTGTGAGACCCAAACTGAAGCTCTTTATGCCTCAAGGGCAGACTCAGCGTGGCTGTCAGCATCTCCCTGATGCACCCTCATCATTCCTGGGAGTGGAAAGCTGGCACAGCAGCAAAGGAGATGCCAGAACTGCAGAGTCAGTACTGGTACCCACACAGCAATGCACTTCAGCAGGTACTGTCAGGGACACCAGCTGTAGGGAGTGTGGTGTCAAACTGGGGCTCCACTCAACACAGGGTGACAGCACAGGCAGGCCCTGCACAGCACTACTGCCAGCGGGGACAGGAACCAGCTGAGGCCAAATTCATCACAGTAACTCCAGAAATTAATTTAGCTTCAGGGGCTATGGCATCATGCAACTAATAACATTTTCTTTTGAAAAGGGTACATTCTGAACTGTATGTGCCATCTCATTATCCCATTGGGAGCAAGACTGTTAGAGGAGAAAGGCACTGTGCTAGCCCGATGCAAATTCGTCTTTTCCATTGTCCTGACCACTTCTCCCTCCTTTGTAGTTTAACTGCTTAGACTGATGACAGGTGTTGTTTTGGTGGAAGGGAAAAGCAGGTAATTAATTATATTTAATTCTGTCATTTGCTAAAGTGATTGCAAGAAGAATCAAGAAATAACACTGTAAGCTGTGTATTGTTTCAGCTACAACTGATGACTTTATCAAGTGTCTGTTACATAAATGGACAGTACCCAACAACTGGAGGACAAGCTACTCTCACAGCATGACATCCCTCCTGCGAATACAGCCCCTCATGGGAGCTGCTGTGCTCTGAATCACTGCTGGGAAGGAATTAATGGTGCTTGTATGAAAGGCAATAAACAAGACAGACTAGGGTGTCATTCCTGCAGACATGCAACTTCACTCGAGTAGCACTTTTTATGACAAGGGGACAGCTTAGAGAAATAAAATTAAGACTACACTGAAGTGTATGGAGGAGCACAGTAAAAGGTGAAAATGCCCCATCTTGGGCAATCAGCATATCATTCATTACACTAGGACTGATCAGACCTACTTCTATAATCAGGAATGCTTAAATAGATGAAATTTTTATAAAATTAGGGCTACAGAATTGAGGCATTCTATATATTCTGTATTATAAAAAGCTTACACTTAACATAATTTTTAAAATATATCTTCACTGCTAACAGTTTATTTGTAATATAGTATCTGATACAATAAAAATATATGCTTACTGAATGGGAGCAATGCAGCACTATGGCAGGGACTGTCCTGTCTATGTGGTTTGAGCAGCTGGAAAAGTTGTCTGTTCCCTCCTTGCCTTGGTTTCTCAGCCATTACCTACCTGGAGATGGCAATGCCACTATAATGTGTCGGCTTTCCTAAGAGGCTTCTGCAGAGAAGGCTCTGACACGTTCCCCAGCTGACAAATCATCTACTGGGCAAAATCCAACCTTGGTGTAAATTCATTACTTTTTCCTGTTTTACTAATCAACAAACCAACCCCCCAAACCAATACTCTACTTGGCATTAGCAAGGAAATGGTGCTTGTACAAGGTATGCAACTGCCTTGTAGGACAAAAATACGGGCTTGGCATGTGATTCTGAGGCTAACAACAACTCAGTAGCTCCTAATCAAATGTACAGGGCAATTTGTGGGTGCCAAGGTCTGTATGTGGAAACACAGCTGCATCTTCTGGGCCGTGTTCTTCACTAAGTAAATAAGTCCATAAAGGGGGCAAGAACTTACTGTCATGTCCAATGGAAAAATATAAACATTCAAATGATGAACTTAGGAAGTGTGTGCCAAACTACAGCAAAAGGACCACAGCACATGCCCACAGTGCTTCTGAGATGCACAGTGGGGAATCACCTGGTGTCCCACTACATGCTGTGACTGCAACAGGTGGCTGGAACCGGAGCAGGTAATCATCTTTCTGTACCAGCCCTTACAAACCTGCCTGGTCTTTCAGGAACTTACCATCATTGAACAGGATTTGTTCTGTAGTTTGTTTTTTATATGTGCAACATGTTTTGCTCCTTTCTGGCTCATCCTGGCATGAAAATCCCCTGGTTCGTGTGTTCTGGAAGAACTCCACCAAACTCAGCATGGTGGCACCAGTGCATGTGAGAAGTGGAATCTCTGCAGAAATGGGGATACTGGTTACATAGCCTGTCTGCTCAATGTCCCAGGTACATTGACTGTTCATTTTTCACAGACTGCCCTGGTAGATGTGACTTTTGTCAAAGCGGATAAACGGCAAGGCATTCATCAAATATTGTGCCATATGGTAGCATAGACTGAGCTGTCACTGGCAATAGATGGCTGAATAATTATTGACATATGCTATCATAGGTAATTAAGCTTGCTAGATTAAAAGCAGGACTTGTGCCTAGCAAACAATGCTCTATATTACTCATTGAACTTTGAGCAGCAGTTCTCTCTTGTCAGGGTTTATTAAAATATTCACATGCTTCCAAAATGAAACAAAGGGCCACCGGCGTCTCCTGGGGAGAAGAGGTGGGATTGGTTGCATTCAGTTGCCATTTGGTTGGAGATGTCATACAAAATCCTCACGCACTGGACATGGCTCAGTTGTAAAAAGCTTTCACCCAGAAAGGAGATCTTTGTTACACAGGAAGTCTCAGACTCCTCCTTCGCTGGTTACGTGGTTACATGACATTCTCAAAGAGCTGTAATGATCGCATGATATTGTCGTCCTGAAAGTAAGGAAAAGATACTTCCATGAAACCAGCACAATAAAGCACAATTCATAACTCTGCCTGGCACAGGGAAGCTCTGCAGCTGCTCCTGCAGGAAACAGCCTTGCTCTGGTAATGCTTTACCCCCTCCATGAGCTGGGATTGATTCAGTGCCCAGGCCCTGACTCAGCTCAGAAGTTGTCTCTTACTTTAGCCCTGGGTTGGTGTGGGGCAGGCAAGCACAGGCTGTGGCTGTGTTAAACCCTCAGATGCCACTGATCCTGGGTGTGCAAACGGGCACTTGGCTAATAATGCTCCACAAGTCCGACTGAAATGGCACGTTTTGAACAGATAAGAAAGCTGCCTTGAGGGAGCACTTCATCTCAGAAATACAACCAGCTCAAAACCAAAACACATGCAATCTGTGCAATCTCAGCCTCTCCAAGGTTCCTAGAGCCAAATGAGAAAGTTACAGACACACGGGAAACCCTAGATTATTTCTCTTGAAATTCTGAAATTGTACTTCAAGGTAATAACCAGAGTAGTATACAAAAACATGATGATTTTTTTCCTCCCAGGAATTCAGTTATTCCAAAAGTTAGAATAGCTGTTTGCCTGTAACATGAAATTAGTTTTCCACATTGAGCAACTTAAGAGATCTATTGCACTGCATTCCTCAATCATATTTTGAGGCAGCATTAGCTATGTCCCTTCTAACCCAGTTTGGTGGATACCAATCATCCTCTCCAAGGCAATGCCAGGAGTTTCCTGCCCACGAGCCAGAGCTTCTGCAATGGCACAAGTAAGCACTGTAGTGCACTTACGTTGGTTTTTCATAAAGGTAATAAAATAAATAAATAAGTCCTGCCCACCAGGAAACCACACCTGCCAGTGCATCAATCTGCCCAGCTCCTAGTGCAAGGATGGCAACAGAAGGAACCAAACTCAAACTAGGGCAAAGAATTAAAACTCTAACAGTTATAAGTGAAGTAAAGCTGCTTCAGTTCTGAGACCACTAATCATAGACATACCTACAGTCAAATGATGAATGTGAAGAATAATACACTACACAAATGATCAAAGTAAAGATGGTGCCAAAAATTAGCCAACCAGGAGGGACCAAGAATGAAGTAACTAAAAAACATTAGTTTTCTATTATGCACCTGCTAACAAGGATTTTGCTGCCTGAAGTCCCTGACTGAGAGGTAATCTGGATATGGCCAGAGCCAGGCTTGACACAGAACCAACAGCAAGCCAGCCCAGCCCTCCAGAGTGATCATCTTCCCCTTGCTCAGGGGCAGAAGAGTTGTCTGGCTGCAGAACTGGAAAGAATTTTCCAGGGAAAGTAAAATACACAGAAGGGCCATTATGCAATTATTTGCACTAATGTAAACATCACAAAAGGCAGAGATTGCCTTTTAGACCATTATTGTACTGGTCAAGTATTAGATATATCTCTGAGCAAACATTCACACACTTAACTGATGTCTAAGACAACAGACATCAGGCATGTTAATGCAGATGCTTCTTTATGCCAGTGCTAAAAATACCATTAAACATTTATCACAGCCATCCTAACACAGGAAATTTGCAAGAGGGACATGATTTCCAAAAGAGAAAATAAAATAAAAATCATTGCTATGATGACAGCATTTGCTTTTAATGTTTGATCATAAAAACATCAACTGGTTTTATAACTTAGTGCTGTAATTGCAAGATTTTGAGACACCTTTGTCTCTGGGCAGTTACAGCACTGTGGTACCTGATAAAGACATTTGGGTAGCACACAGAGACAGTATCATACTTTTAAAATGAAATTAAAAACCAACTAACCAACAAAAAAACCCCCAAAATACCAACCAACCAACCAAAAAACCCAAAAAACCCAACCCAACCAACCACCAAAAAACCCCACCCAAGGCAGTTATGAGCTTTCTCTAGAGTTGTCTACAACTTCTCTAGTGCTTGTCTACAGACTCAGGCATTCACTCTCCCACTATTCAGTCACAGGCTTAACAGAGCATCACCAGAAACCCAGTCTTGAAGCTATTTTTTTGTTGGTTTGTTGGTTTGTTTGGGTTTTTTTTCACAGAGGAAAAAAACCCCAGAATCCTGAGCAGCATCGTATTTCATACAGAATTTGTCCAAAGGGAAGCATAGATGTGGCATGAGCTAGACCTTTCCTTGCATTTATAATTTAGTCCTTACCTCCTGACACGATTCAATAAACTCATCTAAAGTTACAACTCCATCTTTGTTTTTATCCATTTTCTGAAAAATAAAATAAAAAAATTAGTTTTTATTGGCAACACTGTTGTTACAGTGTAGTATCTTAGTTGATGCAACCTGAATAAAGCTGGGCACTTGATAAGCTTAGATCACAGACTCAATGTCATTGCCAGATTGGCTGACTGCTAAGGACTCTGGGATTTGGAGCACTTTTGAGGTTATCTCCAACTATTTCCTTGACATACACCACAATCTCTGCATTTATTCCATTGGTTATTTATTCACTGCTTCACCAACCCCCACCCACATTCCTGTCTGTCATTAGGGCAGTTGAGAGAAACAGCACAGAAGGGCCGCAACACATGGCAGAGGCTTCAGACTTACTGCATGTGGCACATCCCAGTGCAAAGGGTCAGGCTAAGAGACAAGTCAGATACCCCTGGAGCTAGGAAATCAGCAGACACTGTAGTGTTGGGCTGAATGGTTGCTAGGGTTTATTTTGGAATATATAGTGAGGCACAGACACAACTTTCCTGTAAAGTCTATCAGTGCATAGCTCAAGTGTTAAGAAAAACACACAAAAAAACAGGTACCTGGAAAAACACTTCTACATGCTGCCTTGGTGCATCTTCCTTGAGCACTGGATATGTGTACTTTCCCATCATATCATAAATTGCCTTTACGATATCCATCATTTCCTGCCATAGGAGCATGCCAGCACAAACACAAAAAGGAAATTAGGGAAATGATAACACATTTCTGTCTTGTACTGCCCTTTTCTTCACCCTCCTTCTCCTATTACCAAACAGCACATAGAATGCCTGTACACGTGCATGAAGACAGATGTAGCATGACATACAAATTCATCCTATTTAAAGCAATTTCTTCTCCCTGCCTGTGCCCTGCCTTTGCCCCAGCTGTGCCAAGGCTCTCGCAGTGCTCCCTCTGCTCCTCCAGCCCAGGGCCTGTGCTCAGACACAGCAGCTGCTGGGAGCAAGTGGGGTGCTCTGTCCTGAGCCTGTCCCAGGGACCCTCACGGCTGGCACCGAGAGCCTGGTCCCTCTCCACAGCTGGCACAAATTGCCACTCAGCTCCATGGCCAGTGGCAGTAACTGCAAACCCTCCAGGACGGTTTTGAGTAGACCAAGATGTATTTGAAACATATTCAAGGTTACCATGCTCAAAAACAAGACTTCCCACAATGGGAACAAGCAATGATAAGATAAAACCATATGACAATGCAGGATTTGGAAGTGGTGCTGGAGGCTTCTAGTGCTTCAGGTGACCCACACTGTACCCTCCAGCGCAGAAAGAAAGCCCTCATGCCTCAGTCACCAACTAGTTATTGCCACTGCCACCCTCCTCTTTGCAAAGGTTATGTGGCTTATAGCTGTAACCAGGATTTTGCTCCTAGCTAAAGTAATTCATTAAAAGCACTATAATATAGGAAAATATGTCTAGAAAATCATGCAATAAGGTCTCTGTGCACTTTACTTAGACACAGATAAATGCTCAAGTGCATTCTGATTTGCTTTTAATTACCTGGATTACCTGCATGTGAAATTAATTGTGTTCTGCAACAAAAAAGAGTTGCTTCTCTTCTGAAATCAACCACATTTGTCAGGAACAGCCTTACCTCCTTGTTTATATAGCCATCCTTATTTATGTCATACAGATTAAATGTCCATCTTAGCTTTTCATGAACAGTTCCACGTAGAAGAATAGACAATGCCATCACAAAATCCTGGTTTGAAGCAGAGAGAGGTGTGAATTTTCATAACATCCTTTTCTAAGTCCTCTTTATATGATGCCAGTCAAAAGATTTATCTTTTTAGGATGGAGCACATGGTTATCAACCTCTTCTGGCTTCCTTTTCTGAAAATGTGTCCTCTCTGACTGAACTCAATGGATGAAGGATCTGCTAAGATATTTGGTTTTTAAGAGCACTGCCAGACGCTCCAGTGGCCATTCTCCTCCCTGCTGCAAGGAGTCCTCACTCAAATTGCCGCTACCTGGCTAAACACAGCTGGACTGTGCCTGTGGAAGTAGAAGCTGATGCTGTCTTACCTCCAGATCTAGGTGCTGGCAAAGTAGGGAGAAAATCCAGCATTTTCCCTATGTTCACCTTGAGAGATGGAGAGATCCTAAACTCCTCTAACAAGGGAGCCTTCGGTTTTGTTCTCTGGCAAAATCTGTCAGACTTGACTAGATGTGATTCCTGTCACTAATTATTCAGTGTGGAACACAGCATTTTAATTGCATTTTTTTGTTTCCAGTAAAGTTATTGCTTCCAATAACTTTGATTTATTATTTATCCTGCATGGTGGCTCAGGCACCGTGAGTAGCATTGCTACAGGGGTTTGTTAGCACAGGCAGAGCTTCAAGCTAACTGAGCTATAGTTATAACTTATTTAACATCCCTAGTCCTTCCCTTGTCACCTCCATGAGCTCTGCATGAGGCGGTGAATCACTGCTTAAAACCCCCTGCTCCTTTTTGCCAAGGCTCAGAGGAATTTGCATTTGTTGAACAGTATAAAAAGGGGACAAAATGCTTATGTTTGAGAACCAGTAAATGGACAGGTCTGCCAGGAAGGAAAGCTCAGTATTTTCTAGGGGTTTTTTTTAGGGTTTTTTTTTAACAGCATTTCCCTGTTCTCATCTTGTTTAGGTTTCTGGACACCTTTAACTACTGAGTAGCTGCCATATGCAAACCTGGTATTGCAGCCCTTTCTACAGAGACGCACAGATACATATGGAAACATTCCCATTTTACATTTAATGAATTAACCCATTTCTCAATCTTATATGAAAATTACTGGAGTTCTTGGCCATTTGACAGCAAAGGCAAGACTGCCTATGATTTTTAGTTTTATAATCATAGTGAAATGTCTTCAAGGCTATGAAGTTCATCCACCAGAAGTCTATGACTTAACATATCCTTTTGCTGTACTCCTACAACTATGGGTGTGAGCATGAAGAGTTATTGTAGCCACAGGCCTTTTACTTAAAGAGTGCATTTAGTTTCCATTAGATACCAAGTACCTGAGATGCTTATTCAACACATCAAATAAGCTTAGAAACACCATATTCCAGGAACATAGAGATACAACTATTCAATTACTTAATGCATGATGCCTGCAGAAGGTACAATTTGCAAGTTATCTGTACTCCTCATCTCTCTTCATATGGGACTGTCCTCAACCACTCTCCTGTGCCACATAAACCTCTGTGCTTTCTCCTGATCCTGACTACTATGATCGAGATGTTTCTTGACTGAGAGGAAACATAACAGCATCTGCATAAACTAAACTGAACCAGATTTTAAAACATCAACTGACTTTAGACTGAAACCTCTAACCTTTAATCCAACAAGTCCTACTACTTCACAAGGAAGAATGGACAGAAAAGCTTAAAACCACAAAACTGAGAAAGTGAAGTAGAAGGAAGATGCAAACCAATTACCTCAAACTTCACTGAGCCATTTTGTGCAGTGTCAAATGCATTGAAGAGGTAATGTGCATACATGCTGGCATCTGAAAACACAGAAACATGAACTGGTACAGCAGCTCTTTATACACTAATGGCTCTAAACAACGGTTATGATCTTATTTTCCTTCTGTATAAAAACCAACCTTGTAGCATTGCCAGGCATTCTGTGAACCAGTAAATGATAATATGGACTTGCAAAATCCTGACAGCATCCCTTAAAACAGCCTTGAAATGCAAAAGCTTTTGTTACAGTAGAAACTATTTGGATTATGAGGCTTTACCTGAAAGAACGAGCAGAAAAAACCCAACCATCCCAGAATGTCTCTGGGTCAAATGGAGTATTAGCTCTGGTGGGAAACACAGCAAAAATACCAAAAACTGTCGGCAGCACATGTCCATCCTTCCTCTACCATTTTGTTTTGTTTGAGACATGGCAGAGACCCCCAGGGACTGCTTATCTTCAGAAGGCTCCTGCTCCAGTAACTTGACTGCTAGAGAGCAATCTCACCTGAAGCACATTTTCATCCGTTTGAATCCTAAACTGCTGGTTTTAGAAAACCTTTTCTATCGAGAAGAAAAGTCTCTATAGCTGTGTGAATAATGGCTGTTGACTAGGAATAACAGTGATGGTATACAAAAAAAATCCAACTGTACAACTTAAAGACCTTCAGTGGCCTGTTCTCTGCTCTGGAGGCAATTTGCACTGCTCTCTGTATTACCAGAGCCCAGCTTTTCAAGATAGAAGCAACTGACATTAAAGTTCCTTGATTATTTCATTGTTATTCTAGCAGCCACACACTTTTGGTCTCTTCTAGTCTTTGTCTCTAGCACACAGCATCAGTCAAACCTGAGTCTCCATACCCAGTGTATGGGTATTCAGGTGAAGCCTGGTGCCCTGTGCTATGTGCACAGGTGGAATGACCCAGCATCTCCTTACTCTGACATTATTCAAATCCAGGAAAGTGTAACAGTGTGCAGAAAAATCAAATACGTAAGTTACTGTCATTCATAAGGATAGAATACACCGGAGTTTAGGGGAAAAAATTAATGTACTACATTTTTAAGAGAAGGATTCTGAAATAAAATAGCTCCAGAAGAAAACCACAGCATTACTTATGGGATAGTCCTACTAAAAGCTCCTATTAAACTAAACTAAACTAAACTAAACTAAACTAAACTAAACAATGAACTAAAAATATTAAGCTAGAGGTCTTATTTCAGTTTGGTACGATGTACATTAAGAAATACTTAGTTCACTAGTATCACTCGATGACAGATTAGCAAAAATTAAAACTGCCAAGGATAGGAGCCCTATGTACACAAAAAAATCACAACCCTGGGGTGACAATGTTGTTATAATTCAGAGCTACATTACCACCTTTAGGTTGTAAAGGTTTATCTGTAAGGAGTGCCATAAAAGTGAAAGAATCTCTGAAGATTCCAAAATCTCACAACTTATGACACTAAGATTATACAAATAGTTTGGAAACCAAGTGAAAGAAAACAGTGCAAAATACAAAATCCCATCTGCTGTTGAACTGATTTACAATTAAGCATGGTTGTACTTCCATCATCATTAACTAAGGGAGAATCACATTTCAAGGGAATGGGACACACAGAAAAAGGAAAGACAAGTCTTTGACAACTTCAGTAAAATGGAGAAAAGTTATCTATCCATGATAAAATGAAGTTTCTATGCCTGACTGTTTTTTATATCTGATCTGGGTCAAGTAAAGGAGTTGTTTGGGTAACTGATTTTCCTTGGACTTACTGGAACTCAAGTTGGAAAAAAACCCACATCCAAAAATACACTGAGATTATAAATACTTAAATTCTTTCAATCAATCAATCAATGGACTGGTTGCATTTTATAACAAAACAAAGCAATCACAACAGGAAATCATCAAGTCTATACTGAAATTTAATGCAAACTTTTTATAGGTGTAAATCTTTGAGGTCCTGTGCACTGTAAAACACATAAGCATAACGTGGTTTATCTTGTCATTTAGTTGAAAAAACACTTGTTAATGACCTTCTTAAAGTAAAGGACATGCACACATAGTCTTGCAGAAACATCAGTTATCATTCCCCAGGGAGTGTATTCTGCAGCTACTACAGAGTGGAAGAGATTTGAAAAGCCTCAGACACTTAATCTGTTACTAAAAATATTTTTACTAAAAAGATTTTTACTAAAAAAGATGACTCATTTATTTCAGTTTGAAAACAGCATCCCTACAGAACATATCTAGTTAGAAGAACACATAGATTCTCGATGTTTTTAAAAGGCAATAACATATATTATTTGAGTGATTTAATACAATACTTTAATATTCCCATACATGACATGACCCTGTCCTAGTAACACAAACACAAAAAATGATCATTTCATGTAGCCAGGAGTTCACATATCAACTATGAACTGCTTTAAGAATTTTAAAAAGGTTTTGATTAATTTTCAGGCCAAAATGAGGTCTGGGACCCTCCTGTGCTAGACACTACATGTCCAGCAGTCCAACAGCAGGGAAGCAAAGACACACTGAGGGGAAGCAATTTCACTTTCTGCCAGCCAGAAAGTCAGTAAAGAAAAAAGCATCAATCCCCAGTTTCTATTTTGGACCTGGGGAATAAAGAGCTGAAAACTAGGGACAATCTGTAATGGGTTTTGTCCATGTGAAATAACTGTTCAAAGGGCCTAACAATCTTATCACCTTGATGTTTGTGTTTCTGTCTAAAATCCCATAAAGCTTAAGCTCGGTTCCAACTCCTTGCACAGATGATGTGCAGCAGTTCTACAGCCAGCTGGCAGTAAGGAATGTTAAGGCATGCTTCAATAACCCTGACAGGCACAAAGCACTCTGCTTACCTCCATGAGGAAAAAACTGTGCATAGATCTGTTTGAATGTCTCTTCATTAACAACCCCACTAGGACATTCCTGTTGGAAAACAAAAAAACAAACCAACCAACCAAATAAACAAACAAAAATGAAAACAAACAAAAAAACCAAACCAAAAACAAATCAAGAAAAAACACAGCTTTGTAAAGGTTCATTTGCAAAACTCTATAGGCCTGAAGAGACCAATTAAACAAATCACTTTGCTGTTCTCACAGAGTTCTGCATGCTCAGGCTGTGCAGCTGGAGAAATTGAACATTTCTTCCCTGCTCATACTGCTCGCTTTAGTTTTCAAAAACCTGCGTTGTTACAGACAATTACATCTCATACTACACTTCGTTACAGGTTTGCTAAAATACACTAAAGCAAGGTAAGGATGTCTCCAGCAGCCCCTCAGTTATTTGGGTTGCCTGTTTTCTGCTTTAATATTAGAAAATTATCCCTTGCAGCTAACAGGCATTTCCCCTAACAGCACAGCTCCCCCTAAACTGAGCAAAAAGTCCCATAGAAACACCAGGCTTTTTAAATTTATGTACTCAATTCCACAGAATACAAGTCATTAGAAACATGATCTAAATGGGAGGTACTGAATTACCAAGCTCAAACCTCTGTATTATTGTTGGTCACTTCATTCGTCATCAGTTTATCAATTTTAATCATAAAAATAGTTTCTCACTCTCCTCCCTGCAATTCCACAACTGTTCCCCAAACTTAACTACTCTGGGGGTATTAACTTCTAATTCATGGCCATTTTGTTCCTGTGCCAACACTGCTGTTTAGCTCAAACAATTCTTTCTCCTGACATATTTGTAGACAGGAGATATTGCATTTTGTTTTGTTAAATTGTACAAAGGCAAGGCCCACCAGAGGCTCTGCTGGTTTTGCTGCCTGTTACCTTGCTTTTGCAGAACCTCAGCCAAAGAAATCAGACCAAACATCTCATGTTAATCTGGCTCCAGTCAGACAGCAGCCAACTCCGTGGTGCAAAAGAGACTATTCACATAATGCAGAACATGTTCTGGGAGCAGAGGCAACTGCTAAGAAAAGTGTGTAATATTGGTCCTGGAACCAAGAGATGTTGGAGGGTGGCACCCTTTCACAGCTGGAAGAGCAAGCTAAAGGCAAAGAGAGAGGGGACATTTGGCCAGGCACCAAGGACACAGGTTAGCGTGCTCTGCTTCTCTGGAGTGGCAAAGGAGCCAAATTTCTTGGAAGCCTCCATCAGTCTGGCACACAAACACCAGACTGGACCAGTGACACACTAGAAAAAGACTGAGAAAGTTTGAAGGGAGTGGGGGAACAGATTTTGGAGACAGAGAAAGAACAGGAATAAAAGTACTGAGATTTAGGACCCTGGTCAGCCAGGGCTCTAGTCCAGTGGCCACTCCAGGCTGTGCTGAGCTGCCTTTGGTGGAACACCATCCTTGTCCCTGCACACCAAGTCCTCTGCAGCCAGGCTGAGCAGGACCTCGGTCCCTCTGTGTCCAATACAAGTGCCTCTAATGGCTCTGTGATTATCCAGGTGTTGCCTTATGACTAAACAGGACCTGTGCAATCACTGAGAACAAGCAGTAAGTACAAGCTGGAGAGAGGAAAATTACTGTATTCCCACAAGGATTTTGAATCTCCAGATGGCACTGTAACATCATCCCAAAGAGCAGACGGTTTGGTACAATAGCAAATTGTACAGTAACAGCTGAGCCAGTCTGTCTCCTGGGCAAAATTACTCATCCCACTGAAACCATGATTTACAGGCTACAAATGTTAAAGCTGCATTTCTACTTCAAATTAAACCTTAGATATGAAACTTTGTGCATATTGTGTGTATAGCAGCTGGAGAAAAACAGCCTGCTTTTTCCTAGTACCCAGATTTAAACCAAGACCTTGCCAATTAATACCAAGACCTTCAGCAAGGTCCTAGATTTAGGTCACGTCTGTCATTCTTGCCCTGGGAGGTAATGCCTCTGTACTGCAAAGTGATAGCAAAATTGGGAAGGGCAAGGGATAAGTGTCATGTCTGCTGAGAGTGCTGCAGGTTTGCCTTTCTGGTTTGCATCGCAGCTCCTGGCACAGCCAGCTCCTCCTTTCAGCAAAGAGCAGAGCTCTCCCACACAGGATTCCCACCCAACAGCAATACAGAAGGCATTGCAGAGATCTTAGCAAAACTGAGTTTAATATCCCACTGTAGGCAGTCATGTCATATCACACTCTATGTTAACCTGTCAAGCTCTGTCTCAAAAACCATATGATTTCTTGCTGGCTGCTGAAATCATGAAGAGGTTTCAGAGTATCAGTTTTCAGTTAGAAAACTTCATGCATGAAATGACCTCCTACATGCAGCAAAGGTTGCACAAATACAGAATATACACCAAACAAACATACAGAAAGCTGAGCTGCACCTTGGCCTGCTTAGGTGAGCAGTGGAAATAAAGGATGAAACCACCAAACTCCTCAAAAAGCCAAATATACACTGTGATTTAACACTGTAATTCAAGCAAATTTCAAGAATCTGTCAAAAAGAAAGGCCCTTCTCAAAGTCCAGTAGGTTTCCCTCACAGTTGCCTGTATTTAATATAGCTCAGCTTTCTTTTGACAGGTTTTTACCCAGTACAGTTGATTTTTTAAGACATTTCAGCATTTCACTGTGATGGCCGCTGAAATGCTGGAGCTGTCCTTCAAGACAACTTAAAAAACACTCTGTGTTCATTGAGCTAGCTCAAATCTGACCTGTTAATCATCATTAAAACATCAGCTGACACAAACCACCTGGGTGACTAAATCCAGACCCTCAGGCAAACATATAATGAGTACTCATTCTTCAAGGTCCATAAAACATCTGCTCCATGTAGCCTCAACATTCCCCATCCATTTCTGCTTATTATGATGAGGCCCTGAGAGGCAGCAGCAGATGACCCAGAAGCTGAGGCTCATGAGCTGCAGATTCCCTACTCCCAGGGAGAGTGTGGCTAAAACGGTGGCTCACAGACAGGGGCACGGAGCTGTTTGTGCACACAGTCATGCCAGCTGGCCTGCTGCCTGTTTTCACCAAAATCTGCAGCCTCTCCTTGTCTCCTCAGTCTTAATACACATTTAACTTTTGATTTCTCTTTGGCTCCTGCCATTCTGTCCTTATACCCTACTTATTCAGGACCTTAAAGTACTCTACTAACAAGAACAAGATTCTCCAGCTAGATAAAAGATAAAATCCCCATGCTGAGCAGCTAAAGCAAACAGTACTGTTTATATTTGAACATGAGGTACTGACAACAAGGATTAAATAAGTAACCACAAAAATATTTTCAGGTTGTCTTAAAGTACTGGCACAGCTGAGGAAATTGTAGAGTGCTTGTGGACATTTGGGGAACAAGTTTAATGAGACTATTATGTGCTGAATATTCATCCAAATCCAGTTTTAGGCAGATTACGGTGTCATAAATATTAGATTGAGAGGCAGATTGTACTCATTTTGTTGTGTTGGAGAATTCTAATACAAAACTACTAACGTTTAGCAAGGGATAATACAAAATACATCTGAGCAGTTGGGGCTAGTGGGGACATACATACTAGACTCTGTTCATTGCAGTAGTGTTCTTACATTTTTAAATCCTCTGTAAAGCACTTGAAGTTCTCTTTTAGTGAAATTGGTTTGTGCTTCAAGCTGTTCGAGTCCCTCGGGTCTATGGCACACTGTAGTCATTTCTAATTCATCTTCAATTTTATCTGAAAGAAAAGACAGGGAAATATTTATTTTGGTTGTTACCTTTGCTCTATTAACATGATGAATAGGACAGACTGGATTTGCAGAGCAACAGAAGAAAAAGAAACCATCAACAGAACTGATCTGTGTAACTGTTGAAAGCAAAATAAAAGCCATAGGAGTAAAGCAATAGCTCACATTTCTTACTGGGCTGCCAGTTAGTTCCCCGTACACAAAGCCAAAACTGGTGGTAAGAGCAGGCAGCAGGTACATTGCTTGAAAAGGCAACACCAGACATTTCATACTTAAATATTGGAACATCGTGGAGGAATAGGACTTTCAAAGCACTAGCTTCAAAGAAAGCTGTGTAAATATACATGAGAGAGCAGACATGCTTAAGCATATTAGACAATGACATTATAGTGAGGGTGATCAGTGAGGGAAACTCGTCTGTGTTCTGATCAAAAAGTTTGCTACAGAGACATCAAAAGTCACTTTAGTCCTAAGAGAAATTCAAGTAATGTTCACAGTTGCAGAATCTGGAATGAATCCAGCCTGCATTTGCATGGACTTTTTGGAGAACCAGATAAGAAATGCAAAACATTTATGTGCATTTTATTCAAGAGGGTGTTCTTCCACACGGAAGAAAAATACTTGAGACCTATCACATGCTGTATTACCATAATCTCGCTTCTTTTTTGATGCATGTTTTCTCCTGTCAAGCCCATTTCCCCAGCAGTGTATGCAATGCCCAAATACATAGATACTTAGTGTTGATCAGTTTGGGATTCTCTAAACTTTGAGGACCAGATCCAGGTTTCAGCTGACATGAAAAGCGAATCTACATCCAAAAGTTGCTTGGCATAAAAGCTAGCACACTCCTTATTGTCAAAAACTGCACAATTTATCCCTTGTAAAAATGTTTTAGGTTATTTGGCTCAAGAATAATATAGTAATTTATGCTGTAAGACAAGAATTTAATGAGAAATGTGCAAGGAAATAGAGTCACTTTGAATAGAGGAAAGGCATGAATTCAGAGCACACTGGCTCAGTGAAAGAACAGACCAGACCAAAGCTGTATTTTTATAAGTTAATTAATTCTGCACACAGACACACACACACACATGCACATATATATATATGAACGTTTTTAAGGGAGGACACAGGACAGTGAGTGCTAATGGTTAATTAACATTGGTTCACTGTGCCAGTATTAAGAAATCAGTTTGAAATATTGGTGAATTGAGCCATCCTCCTAATCCACCATATCTGGACTGTCACAGTCAGCATTTGTAGGGCTTGAGCAGCTAAAATACATGCCTAAATACTGTGCTGAAGGTCCCTTGCACAGCAAGGGCATAAAGGTAAGAGATGTAACAGCGAGGGACAGGAGCAGAGTATCACAGCCATTTATGGTGCAGAAAAAGTGACCGAATGATGGCAGGTGGCCAAAAGAGGCCTGAAGGACACACCTTTCCCACACAAAGGGAAAATGAAGAGTCTAGAAATTACAGCTCCTGTTAGAAGAAAGGAGATGAAAAACATTGTCTGCTACAGGTAAAAGAACTATTAATGTAAAATAAGGGGGGAAATCCATTTTCTTTGCATGAGAACTAATGCCACAAAATGAAGGAATGCAGAAGCTGTAAAGAGAGAAAAGTGTGGGGAAGAAATTCTTTAAAATGAGGCAAGAGAAATGAGTGGCTGGAAAATGGAGAGGAAATCCATTTAAAAGGGAGCCATGTTAGGGAAACTCATGACTAATCCATACATTGCACAGGAAATACCTTTCTAGTGACCTCTGGTTAACCATAAGTTCTCTAAACCTTTCCCTTAACAACATGCACCTAACCTGACTCCTCCCCTGTGCACCCACAGTCCTCCGATGCCATAAGCAGTTTACACAGGACCTTGGCAGGCATTTGCTTTTCCTCTGTGCAAGGTAGGCGTGGAGCCTTTCTCTGCTCTCTAACCAGCTAAACACACACAGCTTCTCTCTGACATTTCCTATTGCTTGACTCTCCCTTAAGTTCTTTCTAACTTCAGTCTGTAAACTATAAGTGTAAAATACCGGCTAACTAGCCTTTATATCCTATAATTTACAGAGAGAGGAAGATAAAAAAGAAATATCTATGGAACCTCACGCATCTGGTGAGGCTGATGAGGGAAACCAGCCAATTGGAATATTCTCATACTTGCTTTTATTTATGCACCTACAATGCATAGGTTTCTACAGAAGCAGGGAAGATCCAGCTGAGAAAAGTCCCATTCTTTTGCAAGGACATTTTGATATGACTAATTTTTTATGGGTATTTTTTTTTGCCATATATTTTCTCAGCCAGGTTTTCCAAACACTTACTGGAATTAGTGTTAGTATTCTAAAATGCAAGTAATTAAAGAAAAAGGTCTCACTCAAGAAAACTTGCTCTCTAGCTCCACAATAGTTTTAAACAAAATCTGCAGAACTAGAGCTCGAAACTCAGAGTTATCCTGATGCCATTTATACAAGAAGACCCAAAATTAGGGTCTTGGAATTATTTTTTTCCCAAAATATTCTGGAATAAAACATTACTTGGTAAACACTGTATTTTAATAATGATATTTGTCTTTTGCCTGCACTGACTTCATTCAGCGAATCATTACTTCAAAGGAGTGCAACTCATCTCCTTCAGTTTGTCCTGCAAGAATAGGCTTTTCCAGCAATGAGCTTGGGTCCCACAAGGCAGGTATTTCTATGTTCAAAATAAGCCATATTATTTTTGTAGATTTGATTCTATTTTCTATGCTGAGAAATGTGTCTCTTTTCTCATAATAAACTGCAGAAAGAAAATTATGAAAAATTTATCCCTCTCAAAGGGACACTCTATTTTTTCCTTCTGTTCCCTATTCCAGAACCTGTGTTAAACTCTGCCTCTAAAGAGGATCTGATGGTTCCCTGTGGGTTAATCCTTTCATCTGTTTCCACTTCCTCTCCCAAAGGAAATATTTTAAAGTTTAGCAAAAGAACTTGTGAAGATTTAGATCTGGCCAAGGGGGCATTCAAAACACCACCAGACCAATCATTTTCCAGTAAAAAAACTCAAAAATGGTAGAAAGTTGTTCCTTCTGTGGAACATGCCTGAATGCAGCAGAGCAGTCCTGGGCATTTCTTGAAGCCTCACCACAGAAAATAAATACAAGAAAGACATGTTGGGTCATTTTGTCTATCACTTGCCAACAAAGAGCTATTTTCCATGATGCTTCATAATACAACTTATTTTAGGAGTAACAACTTCACAGCCAGCACAGGTTTAGGAAGGGCAGGTCCTGTCTGACCAACCTGATCTCCTTTTCTGACCAGGTGACCCGCCTGGTGGATGAGGGGAAGGCTGTGGATGTGTCTGCCTGGACTTCAGCAAGGCCTTTGACACCGTCTCCCACAGCACACTCCTGGAAAAGCTGCAGCCACGGCTTGGACAGGGGCACTCTGTGCTGGGTTAGGAACTGGCTGGAGGGTCAGGTCCAGAGAGTGGTGGGGAATGTGCTGCATCCAGTTGGCGGCCGGTCACGAGTGATATCCCCAGGGATCAGTGTTGGGCCCAGCTCTGTTTAATATCTTTATTGATGATTTAGATGAGGGGATTGAGTCCATCATCAGCAAATTTGCAGATGACACTAAGCTGGGGGGGAGTGTCGATCAGCTGGAAGGCAGGAGGGTTCTGCAGAGGGACCTGGACAGGTTGGAGAGTTGGGCTGATTCCAAGGGGATGAGGTTCACCAAGGCCAAGTGCCGGGTCCTGCACTTTGGCCACAATAACCTCCTGCAGTGCCACAGGCTGGGGCCAGAGTGGCTGGAGAGCAGCCAGGCAGAGAGGGCTGGGAGTGCTGATTGACAAGAAGCTGAACAGGAGCCAGAGTGTGCCCAGGTGGCCAAGAAGGCCAATGGATCCTGGCCTGGATCAGGAACAGTGTGGCAGCAGGAGCAGGGAAGTGATCCTTCCCCTGTACTCAGCGCTGGTGAGGCCTCACCTGGAGTGCTGTGTCCAGTTATGGGCCCCTCAGTTCAGGAAGGACATGGAGGTGCTGGAGCAGGTCCAGAGAAGGGCAACTAGGCTGGTGAAGGGACTCAAGCACAAGTCCTATGAGGAGAGGTTGAGGGAGCTGGGGCTGTTCAACCTGGAGAAGAGGAGGCTCAGGGGAGACCTCATCACTCTCTACAACTCCCTGACAGGAGGTTGTAGCCAGGTGGGGGTTGGTCTCTTTTCCCAGGCAACCGTCAGCAAGACAAGAGGGCTGGGTCTCAAGTTGTGCCAGGGGAGGTTTAGGTTAGATATGAGAAAGAATTTATTTACAGAGAGGATGGTCAGACATTGGAATGGGCTGCCCAGGGAAGTGGTGGATTCTCCATCTCTGGAGATTTTTAAAAAGAGACTGGATGTGGCACTTAGTGCCATGGTCTAGTAACTGCAGCGGTAGTGGATCAAGGGTTGGACTTGATGATCTCTGAGGTCCCTTCCAACCCAGCTGATACTATGATTCTATGATTAATAGGCCTCACAGATCAAACATCCCCTCCCTGTGTTCAGCCCATCAGCTTTTTTCAGTTGTCATCCCATATTCAAAGGTTTTCCTTCAGCAACCTCCCTGTTCATCCTTCCTCCCTTCCTGGTTGAAGTCTGCAGTGGGGACCTGGAGCCAGAGACTTGAGGACACAAACTGCTCTTCTGTGTAAACTGATCTTTTCCAACTCAATAGTCCTCAACCTCTATGAAGAATTTTTTGGTCCTTATTTGTTTCCTTTCAGCCCTTGCTCCTAAGTCAGCTCTTTGCAACCTTCTATTCCCTGACGCCTTATAAATTAACCACAGTAACCTCAGTGGCAGAACAGGAAATTATCACTTCCTCCTCTGCCTTACCTTTTATCATGAATATAGTATTTCCTTTTTTTATTTATATTTTCATTATCACACTGGCTCGGTCCCTCCAGCTCTTCAGAGATGTCACTGTATGAAATATGAGCCCCTGCATTTATAACCACTACAGT